GAGATTGGGACGGTCTGGCGGACGAGCTCTCTCGCGGTACCGAAGTTATCCAACATGCAGAACATTCTCCATCATCAAATGCAGAATCCGGGACGGACCCATCTGACGCTTCCGCGACGAGTTCCATTTTCATTGACTCACCCCCAACGCAGTCATCGTCTCCCGAATTTTCTGCTATGAAGTTTCCTTCGCCCCTAACACCACAACTATCCCAAGGTCATGGATCTAACAGCCGGGTGATAACTCGCCGAGAAAAGCATCTTCGCAAGGCAGCTTTCTATGCTGCTGACTCTCTATCCATGTCTGATAAGCTAGGAGTCAATTATGCCGACTTTACTAGCCGCGAACTTCCAGTACAGTCAGCGATGTGCTCCTTCGACTGTGCACAAGTTCTTGCTGAGTGGGTTGCTACGCTCCAAGATCGCGTCGGGCGGTATCTCGGTGTGCTTGGGAAGGATGAAGTCGACATGGGAGGTGTTCCGGCCATAATGCTTCTCGAGGACGAAGACGTCAAGCTTATCCACAAAATCCAGGAGCTTCTCTCCAGTGCTGAAATGAGGATGAATATGGATATTGTGAGCGGCGCTGTCAACGGCAGCATTGATTCTCGCCTCCAGATGGACAGCTATGGCGGGTACGCGGCAAAGATCCTCAGAGTCACGGCATATATGCTTGATAAGTCCGCTATATGGCCTGGTAAGCAATCACTTTCTAGTGGGCTGACTTGAAGGTTTGATTTACTAACTCATTTTCAGTACTTCATCTGATGGCGAATTGTCTCGAAAGTCATGCTAACTTCATGGCGTCGCGTGCTGACAAATCGGTTATTGCCAGTGAGTAAGAATTAACCCTGGATTTAATATAGGCCACCAGCGTCATCCCTCCAAATCGGATATTTCAGACCTCAACTATCCAAGGACGTCTATCCCCGAAGAAAAATCGATCCGGATTATGTTCCTGTATAATTCGCACCATTGTGTGGTGAAGGCGAGTGGACGATCCAAGCTCCTAATAGGTGGCTTTTGTTGCGAACTGCTATAGTCCCCAGTAGTTCAGATTATCCGGTTTGGCATCTTCGCGGCAGACAAGCAACGAATAAGCCCTATAAGGATTCCTCGCGAATCCAGTTTGCCAAACGAGAGCTGTGCTGAGGGGTCGATACTAAAATACACAACGACGAAAAGAAGAATCCAATGATGGAAATAGCAATGAGGCGTATGGTTGCTTTTCTGCAAGGCCTTATTTAGGTTTGAAAATCTGTTACGATAACGATACTCTGTCCTTCGAAGTATTAATAGATTCGGAGGAATCATGGTACCATGGCATGAGGCACGACCAATACGCTTAAGATGATTTTATACCCCATCGCTGGTTCAGGGCTACGTTAGGGACAGGTCACCGAAGCACACGCGCTTAATGAGGTACGGGCATAAAAAGCAAATATAGATGGATCACTTTAGACCGTAGCCCCTAGGGGCGTTTGTAGTTGGGCCACGCTCGGTCGATCATCAAAAGCGTTAAGAGCTTACGCAAAGCTTACAGATTCTCCCCGAATCCATTCCAAACATAGAAGAGATTCAGAGTACAATTACTCGCCAGGCGACGATGGCCGTGAATTCTCAAGCGGGTGGGATGTTCATGAAACCAGACATGTGTATATGGATTATGTGGGCTCCGCCCAATCGGTGCAGCTTAAAAACTATTGGTGTATTGTCAGCGGCGGTGTTGATGGATTACGGAGTTGTAGGAGTAGTCAATTACCTAGGTATGTTCTTATTGCTAAAATTTGCATACATCGTGGGTTATATCGCTTGGGTTATAAAATGCGATGTGGCATTTATCAATCTCTGACTTGAGCTCCAATTTTGAGAGTAAAGGGTCATTACCTTACCTGCATGCCGCACATTACGATCCTTCGGCTCTGTCGAAAATGTATATAGATGAAGTAAAATGCGTTAGGTAGGTACCTATGCATCATAGTATTCTTGACTGGCATTGAACTTATTTTGTTGTTTTACACTTAAACAATCTTTATATGAAGTTGTACCTAGATAGAGGCGTATGATGGGTGTGTATTGACATACCCATAATCTTACTTCTCCTTCTTTTATCAGTGAAGTCAATAATATTGGCCTAATATCCTTCTTCTGCTTAGGCTAGGGGTTCATTTTTTTTAGTTCTTACCCCTAAATTTAAGTCGAGCAGTTAAATCCGTCTCGAAAGTTTCCTTTTTTTTTTCTCTCCGGATATTATTTATAGAAAAATTAAAGCTAATTGAGTGAATTGAAACATACCGAATGACTTGTGGTACTCATACCAAAGGGGGGAGGCCTTGAGATTTATTCAAAGTAACATGTTAATAGTTTTGTGTATGGTTACATTTCCCAGTTGCAAGTCAGTAATATAATACTAACTGTTGCTTTATATTTAACACTTTAACAAAATCAAAGGCTATCCGTAATCCATAATGCTTTAATCTGTCCAATTTAGACCTTGTATGTGATTGGAATGAAGTTGATTGAGTTAGGATTATCCAGCAGACCTTTGATGATCTTGATGACTAACTGGAGTTTAAGCTAGGCTAAGCTATGATAAGTACATGAGAATGGAGAAAGCCTATTCAGGTCTATCATCTGTGTCATATGTATGTATTGTTGTTGTTGTATTGTGTACGTTCTAGTGTAGGCACAGGATGTGTTTATACCCTACATGTTATGTGACATGTGACAATCTGCCCTGATTTCAAAAAATACTTTTTTGGACATGCTCATCCTCACCCTCCATCATCATATCTCGGAGACCGTCGATTTGTCCAGAATTTGTTGGCACATTTGCAAACTGGAGCTTTCTCTTTGTTCTTGTTGAAAGTGGCTCGACAATTGGCTTTTCGTCTTTAAAAGGGGAGGCTAATAGGGGTGTTTTCTCATGTGAATAGTTGTCTTGTATTTGGCCTGTTCCTAATATTCGATCGAAGACTTGGGTGTTGGTCAAGACTATTTTGTTGTTTGAATTGGCGTCTTTCTTTACTTTTGGGCTTAGTAATGTCACCCGCGCCATCCCAGTTGGATGTCCTGCCATTATGGGCTATGTTGGGTAGTGAATAAAGGCGTTATTGACTTCACCCTTGTACATGTTGAGATTATGTAGCTTTATTGGCGTAATCTTGGGTTTTGAAGACATGATGATACGTAACAAAGTAATATTATGTTACGTTAGGTATAGGATGGTTAAAGGATAGGTTACTATGCTATTGGTTAGAGGAGATGCAGGAAATATTTCAGGGATACAAACATTTAGGCGACCAGACGCGCACCTGGTGCGTGGAGTGTACCACGTTAAGCTTTGCTTTTTTTATCATGCAGCTTGCGGGGGTCTTTTCCGATTTTGGGCGCTTCACGCCTTTAGGCTCTTCGGTGGCCTTAGGTTTCTGGATCAACTTGATCTTTATGGGCTTTAAAGTGGTCTCAATCTTTTCATCTTTATCGACCATGCTAGTTGCCCAAGTGGGATAGTTCCAATAACGACGCCATATTGTGTAGTTAGTGGATTTTGATTATTTCTGTATTCCCTTTTTGGGTTGTTCAACCCACTCCTCAAAGTTGTCGTTTAGGTACATTCTGGCTTTGATGCCCAAGTCAGAGATCAACCTTGTCGTGTTTAAAGAGAGGTAAAGACCCAAGATGCCAGCAGTGCCTCAGTTGTTGTTGCATGGAATGTCTTTGGTTTGATGGTAGTTATTGTAAATTTTTAGGATTGAAAATTGATTTTGTTAAGCAGTTAAGATATTTGTAATTATGAGTGTTAAGTTAAGGATTAAGTTTGGGATGATTCTGCTACCTCTTGGAATTAATGAAGGTAATAAATATCCCGAGGAAACAAGAACACAAAAAGAAAAGAAAAGAAAAGAAAACTTTTACGGCAAGAAGGTGCGTCCAACGCTTTGACCTTAGGTAGGTACGGAGTGATTTCTCGTCACCCGGATACCTAGGTAGGTACGTATGTAGAAGGTACCTGACACAAGTGGTAAGTAAGACCTCAGAAATAATTTTTCTTCAGGTAAGTGCGCAACGAGACATTAGGTATACCGTACCGAAGTACCCTGCAACTTCCGTAAGTGCCTTACTTGGGTACATTATTTACAAATAACTGTCACTACTTAAGTAGGTACATTACAAATTTTATTGACAATTTATGTAGTTCTGTGTTAAAGATTGCAAAATCATTCATTTTGCCTTTTGTCATTTTACCATGACAATAACAACCGGCGGTATTCTGACACTTTATTGTTACTGGAATGAACGATCTGAATCTACAGATCAGACTTCTTTTTTCTGCTGTTTTATTATATATCATAGTTTATTATTTGGGTACTTGTTTGGATTTGTAGTTAGGCATGTTAAAATAGGGGTAAAGATTAACAAACTGACAGGAATACCCTTACCAAATCTAACTACTTAAAGGTCTTTAAAAATAATTAAATTAGTAATGGATAATGATAAAACTAATTAATACAAGCAATGATTGGCAACATTGTATATGGGAAATAACTGGTAGTGATGTATCATACCAGAAGCAATCCGTGATATGCCACATAGGAAACAAACGCCCATATGTCAGCAATCAAGGACAAAAACGGGATGTGATAGGGGTTTAACTTAACACTTTCACCCAATTAATTCCCTCCAGTTTACAGGATATATGAAAGTATGTCTGCTGTCAGCGTTACATACAAACGGGGAGTTTATTTCCAGATCACACCCATCTGTCGAATAAGATGGTAAATAATGCTGATTTTTATGATAAACAATGCAACAAATCGAGTGCCTCTCGAATATACAATGGTCCTTGCCAGGTTTTTATAACTATATGGGATCATATACGACTTTCCTAGCCCAGTTCGTTGAAACCCGCGATATGAAAACCCCTGATTGATATATTAAGGTCTTAATACCATACTAACAGTTAATATACCAACGCATAACAGCACGCGGAATGAGAGAATGGAGCCCATACCAGTCAATACCCAGATCGCGGTCGTGTTTGTCGTCTTTACAACGCTCCTTTTCCTAAAATTATATACAATCGGTAGTCGGGGTAAAGTGCTCCCACCTGGTCCTAAGACAATCCCTATTCTAAGAAACGCACTAGATTTCCCTACTTGCTTTCCTCATATCAAGTAAGCTGCTTCGATAATTACATGTTGCTCATGCTTAAATTTTCAGATTTTCGGAATGGGCTCGTGAGTACGGAGAAATATACTCGCCTAAAGTTTTGAATGGGACGATAATCGTTCTTTCTTCTGCGGCGGCTATCAAAAGTGTTCTTGACATCAATGGGCTAAATACAGGCAATCGGCCCGAGTCTACTATAATACGGCAGGTAACCAATGGCAATGTCCAAGCATTAGAGGATATGGATAGGCCCGCTTGGAGGCGCAGTCGAAAGGCTATGTATACTTTTATCACGGAGTACATTCTAGGGTCACACACCCGGACTCAAGATGCCGAGTACTCGCAGCTTATGAACGATATTCTTGAAGATCCGAAGAACACTTTTGAGCATATCAGTCGAATGGCTGTAGGTGTACTTATCACAACCCTTTATGGATCCAGGGTCCCGAAATATTGGGGCTCAGAAGCAGAAACATATTTCCGCGGGGTCAAACTTATGAATAAAGTCACTGACCCCGGGGCTCATCCGCCAGTCGACATCTTATGGCCGCTGAAATATGTTCCGAAACGTTGGGCGTACTGGAAGCGACTCGCCGACATGACGCGAGAGACCTGTGCCCAAGTCTTTGACCCGCTTTACAAGCAATGCGAACGCGCGATAGAGCTAAATAAGAAAACTGGATGCTTTATCGAGTATTTGATTATGAATCAGCATCAGCTAGGCATGTCACACCAAGAGATCACTGGCTTAGCTGAGGGCTTGATGGATGCCGGCGCAGAGGCTACCGCTTCGTTTCTTCAAAGCATCATATTGGTTTTAATTAACTACCCCCATGTTCAAGAGAAAGGTCAAACGGAGATTGACAACATCGTTGGCGGTGATCGATGGCCGACTTTGGACGACTACGACAGGTGTCCATACATTCGCGCAATTGTTGAAGAATTATTCCGATTTAGGCCAGTTTTCCCCAGGGGTATTCCTCACAGAAGCGAGAGAGAAACTTACTACAAAGAATATCGCATTCCGGAGAATTCAATCATCTTTATAAACATATATGGGCTTTTCCATGACCCAGACTTATACGATGGCCCGGAGACATTTGACCCCGAGCGATTCCTAAAGTCCCCTTTCGGGACAAAAAAAAAAGAGCAGACACAGGGGCATATAGGAATAATCTTGCGTTTGGGGCTGGACGACGGATTTGCGCCGGAGAGGACCTGGCTCGTCGATTGATCGCACAGAATGTGATGAACCTGCTTTGGGCGTTCAGCTTTAAAAAGGACGGCTCCGGAACAGGGGGCATGGATATTGATTCCTATTCTAGGGTGAGCCGTCCTTTCCGATTTAATAACTCATGTTGACGATCATCTAGCCGGGTATCGAGCTTGCGCCGAAGCGTTTTACGTGTGATATTACACCACGGTCTGAGGCTAAAGCATGTGCGATTAAGAACCGGGTTGGAAAAGCATTCCCTATTCACGCTGATAGCTATACAGAGTAACTCCCCAGTCAGTCATGACGGCATGTAGGATGTTATAGATCATACCTAGTCGAAAACAGTGGTCGCAGGCATATTATTTACAGACTACCTACTAGTTAAATAGGGGCAATACTGATATATAACTAAAGTCTTGATGGGTCATTTGCGTCAATAGTAGCAATTCCATCTACGATGTACAATATATATTTATAGCACCGAGTATTTTAGTATCAGCGATAGATACCTGCTATACGGACTCTGTCATCTCTTCATCGATTCTCCACGCTTCCTCGGACATTAGCTTGTATGGATTTGTGGAGCCATCCGTAGGCCGGAGACATCACGGCATTGTACGCTAACGCAGCCTAAGAATAGAGGATGGTGATAAATGGTCTTAAGCAAGGTTTGTAAAGTAATATGAAGCTTTTTCGAATGCTTGAAATTCAGGGGTAATATTATACATTCTTGCTTTTAATAAACAGTAGGTTGGTTGGTTGGTTAATTGGTTAATATATTTAACACCGGGGTAAAAAGGAAAAACCAACTTTTGCAAACTTTTTTAAAAATATACGGCGTATAAAACTATTTAAAAATTAATATATAAAATATTTATTTATATATATATTATATTATTAATCTTTTAATATTTTGTAAATTTAACTTTAAAAAATATATATAATAATATTTTAACCGTTTTTATTAATTTTTTTAAATAAATTTATGTTTAATATAAAATTAATATTTAAAAACCGTTTATTAAAACGTTATTAATTTATTTTTAAACTATTTTATATTATATTTTTAAAAATGTAAAATTTATTTTAACCGTAAATACCGTTTTATTACGGTTTAATTATTAAATATAATTTTAAAACGTTTTTATTACGCGATATGTTATTAAACGTTATATTTTTAAATTGTTTTAAATTTTATAATTTTTATAATTTTTTTAAATATAAGTTAAAAAAAAAACGGTAAAAACAAAAATTTAAAATCGAAAAAAAATCGATTAAAAAAAAAAAAAAGTAAGTTTTTTTTTATAAATTAAAAGTTTTTAATTTAAGCTTTTTAAATAAGTTTTATTTTATTTGTTTAATATTTAATATTAAAGGTTAATTTTTTAAAAATATTATGTAATTTTTAAAAAATGTTTAAATTTTTTAAGTTTTATTAAAAGTTTTTATTAATATATAATTTAATTTATCGGTTTAAGTTTAAAAATAAACCATTTTTGTTTTATATTAAACTTTTAAATTTTTTTGTAAAATATTAAATGGTTTAAAGTTTTAACTTTACCGTAAATGTAATTTAATTTAATATTTAAATAATTAAATTTTTTATAATATTATATAAAATTTTTATACTTAAAATAAACGGTTAAAAAGTGGTGTAATATTTTTTTTAATAACTTTAATTTTTATAAATATTTAAACTTAACTGGTAGTTTAAAAAGTTAATATAAGTTTAAAAGTTTAACTTTATTAACTTATTATTTTCGGAAATTTATAATCGTTTTAACATGGCATTAACGGAATATTACGGCGTATGTTAAAGTTTTATTTAAATTTTCCGAAAATATAATATTTTATTTAATTAATTTATTGGTTTATTTATTTTTTATAACTTTAATATAATTAAATATTTAACGTATTTTAACGTTTATTAATATAATTAAATATTAAAAGTTTAAAAAAGTTTTTTAAAAGTTTAAAAGTGGTTTTTTTTAAATTTTTTAATAATTGTTATATTATTTAAACATATATAAATTAAATATTTGTTATTAATTTTTAAAATTATTTAAAATTTATATTTAACTTTTTTTATTTTTTTATTAAAAATTTTCGTTTAACGTAATTTATTATAATTGTATTTAATATTATATTAATTTTTATATAAAATGTAATTATATTTTATATAATTTTTTAATTATAAATTATTTAAATAAATTACGGTATATATATCGGAAAAAATATATAATTATATTTAAAAAACTTTGGTTATATTTTTTTAAAATTTAATATATATTATTATATTAAAAGTTTAAATTAAAAAAAAAAAAAAAAATTTATTACGTATTATATTTATATATATGTTTTAATAAAATTTTTAATATTATGTTTATATATTACAGGTTTTAAAGTTAATTTATTTATTAAAAAATATCGTTTATTAACAGTTTTAAATTTAAAAATTAATTTATTTCGGATTTTATTAAAGGTTATTTTTATTATAAATAATTTAACGTTTTTATAAATAATATTTTTAAAAGTTATTTTTTAAATAAAAAATATAACTTTTATAATATTATTTAAAATTTTATTAATTTTTATAAATTAAAAGTTTTATTTAATGTTAATTTTTTTGCTTTTAATTTAAACATTATTTATAAATAATTTAATTTTTTTTATATATTATATTTTTGTTTTATACGTAATAATTGGTAATATATATATAATTATTATTTTATAAAATAATTTTATTAAAAATTTAAATTTAATATTAATAAAGTTTTTTATATATTATATTATTTATTTGGTTTTATTTATTAAAGTGAAAATATATTATTAAAAAATAAATTTCCGGTTAAATTAAATATTTAATTAATATATAAACGCGATTTTTTTTTTATTATTTTATATTTAACGTATAATAAAATTAAAATTAAATATATAAATATTTAAAATATAATTATGTTTTGTTAAAATATCATTACGTAAGGATAATCACGTGGTAACACGTGATTATTTTTTATATAAAAAGTAATTTTTTTTAAATAACATTTATATATATAATTTATTATTTTTATAATAATAATTATTACGATAATTTTATTTTATATTATATTTTGTTTTTTTATTTAATATATATTACCGTTTGTACTTTATATATTAACATTGATTAATGTTTAATATATAAGTTAAATATAAATTAATTAAGTTTAAAAAAAAAAAAGTTTAAAAAATCGTTAAAATAAATGTATTATTTTAACATTTAATTATTACGTAAAGTTTTTTTTTATTTAATTAAATTATTAAAAACATATTATTTTAATAATTAAATTATTACGTAAAGTTTTTTTAATTATTTTATAGTTTTTATTATTTTAAAAATATTTAAAGTTTAATTTATAAATTTATAACGTTTACGTTTATTACGTATAAAAAATTTATTATAAATACGATATATTTTTTATTTAATAATAATATTTTAATATTTAAAGTTTAATTTATAAACTTATAACGTTTACGTTTATTACGCACGAAAAACTTATTAAAAGTGTATTATTTTAACAATTAAATTATTATAAAAAGTTTTTTTTAATACGTTTATTATATCGATTTACCGTTTATTATATTTAAATAACCGATATTTATATTAATAAATAAACTTTTTTATTAAACACGTTTATTATTATGTTAATCAAGTGATATAAATTAAAGATAAATTTTAAAATAAAAGTTTAAATTAATTTAAAAAAACAATTATTTACCGTATATATATGTGGCTTTTTATACAAGGCAAAAAAGCTTACACTAAAGTTAACCACTTTAATAACTAATTAAAAACTATTTATAACGTTGGTTAAAAACTTTATTAATATAACACACTTTTAAATCTTTTAAAACCTTTATTTTAAAAAACTTTTATATAATTAATAAAGTTATTTTTTTTACTTTTACTTTATTATTACTTTTTAATTAAAATAATAATTATTTATAATTTTATATATATTTATAAAAAAAATATATATTACCTTTTAATTAAAATAATAATTATATAAAAAAATTATATTTAAATAAATATTTTTATTTTTTTATTAATATTTTTTACAAATACCGTAATTTAAAATTTATATAAATAATTTAATTTAATTTATACATTTATAAATTATAAATTAACTGTTATTAATTTATCTTTTTTAATAAATTATTTATATTTATAAAAAATAAATTAATTATTATTAACTTATTTTTTTTTAAAATAAAAGTTTATAAAAAGTAAATTAATTATTATTAATTAAAACCATTTTTTTTAAAATAAAATAAATACGTAAATAATAAAAATTAAACGTTAAAAACAACTTTATTTTAAATTTTACTTTTAACGTTTTAAAGGTTATATTATTAATAAATTAAAATAATAGTTATTATTTTTATTTTTATTTTTATTTAATTAATAACATAATTTATACCATTTTATAAATTTAAAACGTATTTTTATAAACTTATATTTTTTTTAATTTAATATATATTAAAAGTTTAAATTTCGTATATTATAAATAACATATTTAAGCTTTTTATAATATTTTATTAATTAATCGTGCTTTTTTTTTAACTTTTTAAAATATAAATAAAAATGGCTTAATATATTACTTTTTAATATTATAATAAATACTTTTAAATTTATAAATAATAATATTGTTTTTTAATATATAATAAATATTATTATTATAATAATTTATATAAATTATTAAATAAACTATTATATTTATTTTATTTATATGTTAATTATATTATTAAAATAACTTATAAAAAAAATTTTTTCTTTTTTTTTTTAATTTATTAAATTTTATATTAAATAAGATTTTATAATTAATAACTTTATTTTAACAAATGGTTTTTAAGTTATTAATGTAATATTTTATATTTAATAAAAAATATTATATTATTTTTTTATTTTTTTTTTTATTATTTTTTAAATTTACCTGTTACAACAATTAAAATACGAAAAACCACCATAAACCCACTTTTTT